ATTGTAGGATTGCTTCATCACAGACTTCAAACAATACCACCACTGCCGGCGCAGACACCTACTGCTTACAGCTGGATAAACTTGCTTCGGATATCGCAAAGTTGAGGCTTCCAATACATGAAATTGTTCCACTGCGCAGCAGCTCGCAACCCACATGTATCGAGAGAATGCCAGAATACTATACAGAAACTTGGCCTCATGATTTCCCCCACTCTTTCTAATCCACTGAGGTATAGCAACCAATCACCAGTTGCTCCGCTTGCTTGCTCGTTTCCTTAACGAGAAAAACTACGATGATGGCGACCACCTCAAAACAGACATCCACTGATTCTTGACGTCGAAGGTTGCGTAGTTTGTGGGAGAGGTATCCATCAGGGAGATAGAGGACACTTGTAGACAGTTGTGGTAAATAGGGAACTTAACTAAGGTGGTTCAAGAGAAATTGTGAACTTTTAAAAAATTTTATCAAATCGGCAATTACTACTCAGGCTAATACTTGACTAGGGCTAGTGTATTTTCTCTCCATTAGAATCAAATAGTCAGAATCCTGCTCGGGCTGTTGCTTTAAGTCGCCTCAAACTCAAGTGCTTCTACCGGAGTATTTTTAATGACATAGTATTCTGCTTTATAGTAGTTTAAAGGTTGATAACCTGACCGATCCGTAATTATTGAGTTCTCAGACTTGTCGAGGGTGCGCCTGCTCGCTCTCTCAATAATGTCTGAATCTCATAAAAACAGCAGTACATCAAGATTCCCAACTCATTTCTTTCGTGCAGCAGCTGGCTTCAGCTGAGTTGTATATGCTTATGCATATCCAAAAGTAGATTGGGTGAAAAATTGAACCGTTTACAACTCTCGTGATGCAAGACTTCTGAATATTGAGATACATTCGAAAGAGCATTTTTTTGCAGCATGCCTCGCCGCAACAGTAAACGGGATTCGTCGATTGAAAGAGAAATGGCCGCTAATTCTAGACAATTCATTTTTTCTACTGTTTTTTTTGTTCGTTTTTTTTTCTTTTGTTCACTTCCTTCACAACTCACACATTCTTTTTTCTCATACTTTTGGAAATGTTCAAAGGTTATGAATAGATCTCCAGAAGCGTAGCTGTGACTTACCACTAGAAACAACCACTAAACCACATAGTTACTTGCCCTCAGAGCTTTTCTGATGTTTGAAATTCCTTTCTAGGATCAGTAGCTGAGCTGTTAGGGGTAGGGAATTCCTGACGTCCGAAAATTCAGTTCCTGATGCCACATCATTTGCTTACTTGTCTAGAGTGCATTTTCCCTAGCGCCATTCCCCGTTGTCTATAAATGGGATTATGTAATGACACATGTGTTTGAATAAGGATTTAATATCAATGGTCTAGCGGACATCTCACTTGCTGCAATCTTAAAGGCAAGATTCGGGATAAAATAGGTGTCTAAAAGCGTTCAGTCATGATACTAGAGGTGGGAGGTGGTCTATAAAAGAGAAGGAAAGCAAACGAAATCACAGATTACGCCCCGTACAGAAACCTCCCCTATTTCAGCAACATTCCACCTTGGGATGGAGAACAGGCGCGTTGGACGTGTTTCGCGAGGCTAACGAGAGTTGCTCCAGTGCCATTGACACAGGATCGCGGTGGGACCGCTGCCTCAAATGCGCCCGCGCTTTTCAAAGCGCCACGTGGCAACGGACAGCGGAGGGTGGGGCTTGCGGACGAAGGTGTGAGTTGCAGGTCGGACGAGCTGCTTGTGCCTTTGTCGCGCACTTTCAAGCGGCAAAAGGGGTGCGACAACAACACTTGTCCGCCTGCCTACTACCCCCGGGATGGAAGAGGCAAGCGCGCCTAATCGTGGAGCGTGCCTTTAAGTGGCACTTTCAAATTGCTTTTGTAATAACTTTTTTCAGTGTTCCTGCGGTAATATAATTGTGTTTTGATAAAAGTACATGCAATAAATAAACAAATAGATAAAAATCATTGCAAGCTCGATCTGAAGTTTCTGTACCTTCTTCTAATCCTTCTAGCGTTAGTCCTCCAGTCGCTGGCGTGTCGCTGTCCTTCTCAGTCATCCCATTTGAATGTGTCCAGCGCAGTTTTCTGCTGAGTTCAGGATCGCGTAGCCCCTCTTGATCGGTCCCTCAGCTTCTCTTGTGAGGCTCCCGCAGTATCCATTACTGCGCCCCCGGCGCGGCGCAACTTCAAAGCCATCAGGATGATCTGATGGCTTATACATGAAATCACATACATCGAAAGTCGCCCCCCCCCTCTCATCTTCAGCTGAACAGGAGCCTGTATGATCACTCTGACATGTTCGTTTCTGACCCCCCAGCGGGGTCCAGACGCGGGCCATCTCGGCATCCTCATTTCAGCGCAGTAAATCTGCCTTTCCTGATTTTTGTTCATGTGGCCAGCACTCACTGCCGTATAGCATCGCAGGCCTCAGTACTGTTCGGTTCACCTTCCCTTTGAGCGTTCTAGAGCAACTTCGATTCAGTGGACTCTGTCTATTTTCTCCATCCTACGGTCCATCGTGCTTTACATGTAGTTCACAATACTCGGTTGGCTGGAATATACTCCCGAAGAAAAGCCACTATCGATGTTTCCCGCGATTATTTTCCAAAAAATCCAAACATTTATGTAAGGTTTCAAATCATGAGGATATCTGTTCGCAAATCGCGCTGAGATTTTTATAAGTCCTAATTAGAGAATCCTTGGATGCGATTTTATGCAACCTCTTCCAGAAAGTTCCTGATGTCTCTCAAATTTCTTCAAATCCTCCTTTGCACCGGACAGTAAATTAAACGCATGACATTGGTCGAACTCACTCAAGGATGCATCGTGTAGGTCCAGTGTTAGGCGCGACTCCCTCCTCTAGTGTACATGTTGTCGTGAACTATCGCACTGCATCCAAGCGCTAGTGACAATAAGTGAGTGGCGCATGCACTCCCCACCCTTAAAATTGCCTTCATGAAAAGCATTACCCATACAGAAGTCGGGTGAACGCGTCCCTTCAACCTTAAGGATAAACCCCTAAAAGGGAATTAAGGATGTGGCATTGCCAGATATGAATATCACCCAACGATGGCGCATAGCTTTTAATCTATATGTTTTTCGACAAAAACTGTTTTCCTTTGAAGTTATACGAGGAAACGGGTCAGAACCCAACAACTGGGACCCCTTCCTTGCCCGTTGATTTCCGCGTTGATGCGATTCTCATCGGTATTCTCCTCTTCAAGCTAATGCTCTCTCTACCAAACCGCTGGAGGCTTGCGGCGAGTGGTGGGCGTGCCGCGTCGGTAGCGCCGCGGAGGCGCTCATGCTAGGTACCTGAATTGCCTGTGTGTCCGCACCTGTAGGGGGCCCGCTCGTCTTTCCACTAGTTAACTTTTCCCTTCCTTCGACCTTCGACTGTAATCAGTGGGATTCCCTGCTTTAAGCGCACGACTTCTCTTGGTACGCCAACGTTGAAGCAGTGTTACCGTATCGTTCACCGTCCTCTCTTTAGCATTGTGGCAGTTACGACTATGAGGAATGGAACGGGCAGAATTCGCAAAAATTACATTACGATCGGGGGAGTGGAAAACGGAAGTCGGCTTCCCGCGATCTACGGATATCGATGAAGCGGAGTTTACTGACGGATCATCTAACTTTCTTCGCATTCGCTTCTGATGCTTATCGCTTACGCGTATTCTCTTGTCACCGATGCTCGCCAGGCGATATTTGAAGTGCATCAAGTGTCGCCGAAACGATTTTTCCTATATACTTGACCTTGGGCTTATAAGTGAGGTGCCGCTCACTTTTCTACAGTATGTCATGACTGCTCTTACCATCACCCACATATTGGCCTTACATTTCCCCTGGCTCACAATAGCCCCGATTCCTCGGACAAGTATATTAGCGGCACACTCCACTTATATATTTCCGTTCATGGAAAATGACGGCTTGCCCAAAAAAGAACTTTTTATTAAGCTGGATACTTTGCTTATAAATAAGTAATCCTTGACCTTTATAATAGCGGATCAATAACACTAAAGGAGCGAACATAGTCACATTTGAAGGATATCTCAAGTGTGAAGACATGGATCGAAAAACTTTTCAGCAATCACTTCTGACCTTACTTGTATATTATTGCGATCGTCCACACTTCTCGATGGCGCATTGTTAGAACGTCGTTACATTGTGACCTCACGAATTTGAATGGGTTTAGAGACGCGAAATGAATTGAATACGAATTGATCGAGAAAATAGGAGAATGCCCAGTGGCCCCACTATCCCCAAATTCCAAAGAAACGGAGTCAGTTAACCGATACCTATGTACTCCTCTCGCCCTCCCCACTGAGTGCTCTGGTTCGCTACGCGTTCTCGTCTGCGAGGATGCCTTAGCGATTCACTATGAAACATAGTTTAAGCACAGGGCATGGATTTATAGTCGTGTACTTCACAAGCACAAGTTTTACAAGTGGACATATGTCCAAGAGATGAAAATAATTGCTACAGTTCGATTACGCTATTACAGCTACTCTTCGAAACGTTGGCCTCGTATCAATGTCCACAACTTGATGACTTCGATCCATAAGAGCCCGCTGACGGATATCCTTCCGGTTCCCATCAACTTAGGGTTAGACACCCTTCAACATTTAACATTTGAAAATACGAATATAAATACTTTATTAAGTGTTGAATTCGAACCCACATTTCACGCAATCGACAATTAACACAAACTCTGGCAGAAAATAATCTTAATGGCTGCACAAGCTACTATGAAACTATAAAATTCGAAAACAGCTATCAAGAGACGAAACGCCCCTGAATCAAATAAAGAATGGCCAAGCCTGAATTCACCAAAGACGAGAAATCACAGGTTAAGAAAAACAACCGTGTGCTGAGGCACACACACAATCTTCAAAAGAAATCAACATGATACCGGTGACCGGTATTAGTCCAAACAAAATGGAATACATTAGAGCTCTGTTAGAGATGTGACAACCGGAACGACACAGGATACTCAAATTTAGTGCGCGATAGCACCAACATCTTCTGAACGAGCCGGTTCATGAGCCTTCTTAAGAAGTTCCGGTGAGATCTTCAATTGCTTAGGTTGTTCCCATGGGAAAGACTTGTGACCAAAGTGACCATTCTCTGCAGTGGGTTCGTAGATGGGTCTTTTCAATTGGAGTTCCCTGAATAAAAAATTTTGAGTTCACAACAACATATTTTGAATGGGAATCAACCCACCTAATGATCATTCCTGGCCGGAGATCGAAATTGTCGTTGACAATCTGCAGCAGTTCACTTTCGTTGAGAGCAGAAGTTCCAAATGAGAACACCATCACAGAGAGAGGCTCGGCAATTCCAATGGCGTATGATACTTGGACAAGACAACGACGGCAAATGCCTGACTTTACAAGGGATTTAGCAACCCATCGTGCAGCATAGGCAGCTGACCGATCCACCTAAAAGAAAATTCCAGTCTCCAACTTCTATCGTGGATGAAGTCAAGGACTTACCTTAGTGGGATCCTTTCCAGAAAAAGCACCACCTCCATGAGCACCCCATCCTCCGTATGTATCAACGATAATCTTGCGTCCCGTCAGTCCAGCATCTCCCATAGGTCCACCGATTACGAAAGCACCACATGGATTTAAATGGAAGACAGTTTTGTCGTCGAGAAGGTGAGCAGGAATAACAGCGCGGATAACCTTCAAAACGGTGATTAAGGATTTTGTAATAGACACCCGACGAAACGATCAAAAATGAGCAACATTTTGTTACCTTTTCCAGAATTTGCTTCCTTAGCTGCTCCAGACTGATATCAGGAGAATGCTGGGTGGATAACACAACAGTGTGAACGCGAACAGGAACGCATGCACCACCGTCGAATTTGTACTCGATTGTTACCTATGAATACAGTTTTATCAACATGTCAAAAGAGCAGTCGAATGCAGTGTTAGATTTGAACACCAAACATCTTCTCACACACCTGAGACTTCGAGTCGGGACGAACCCATGCAAGCTCCCCACTCCGACGCATTGCGTGAAGCTTTTCATTCAATTGATGGGCTAGCTGAAGGGTAAGAGGCATTGCTTCTTCAGTCTCGTCGGTGGCGTAACCAAACATGATTCCCTGGAAGTCTATGTTTCAGGCAGAATAAACAACCAGCCTCCAACTCTTTGGCCTGATCCCATCATAAAATTAAATTAGAAGCCAGGCAATTCTTCGATTACCTTCTTAATAAAATAAATAACAAATTACCTGATCACCAGCGCCAACGTCAAGATCTTTCTTGTCCGTGTGCACACCAGCTGCGATTTCAGGGCTCTGCTGCTCGAGAGCGACCAGGACATTGCAGGTCTTGTAGTCGAAACCTGAAGACAACACGCCTTATATAAAAAGAATTGTGAAAATTTTCGGGCGATTCGGCGTAGGAGGTCTATTATATGCAACCATCCCATTCAACAAATTCGGTATTTCGCTGCCATTACTTGAGCAATAGCAATCTCGACATACAAAATCCATGGGGAGATGCTAAAGTGCATGTCTTTGTCCCGATTTTATGAGGGCTTTTCGCAATATACTAGCAGCTTGCGAACATTGTGCACCTGCCGGTGATACAGTTTAGTACAAAAAAAAACTTGCACAGCAAGACTTTCTAAACCAATTGCTGACTTGAACATACTTCGAATCCATAACTTAACTTCAATTTAAAAATAACCCGAATTGAGTGTGAGCATACTACGGAGATGGAATGACTTTATCCCACTTCATCCATGTGGCATAGTTCACAGAACGCCTCACTCAGGCAATTTCAAACAAAAGCGCTGAAGTGGGAGTAACGCCACACAATACACACACTAAACTGAGGAGATATTTGTGCCACATGAACTCTGAACGGTTTTCGGAATTCTTATTCCAACTCATTAGTCTATAATACAAATGTCGACTGCGATAATAGACCGAATTCCTTGATAGTATAAATTGCTGTGGTGTAACGGACTTTCAACACAAGCATTCGTATAAGGCTGTGTAATCAAATCAAAATTCAAGCGGATCACGTGAGAGCGTGACACACTGCTATCACTTCAGGGCAAATAACGGTCGACCAGAGATTAAACAGGAACAATGGGGTTGACGAGGTCTGAACGTGATAAACGGAGCACAACGTGTAATTAAAATTTCGCCCCTTGCTCACAATAGCGGAAGGACTAACTATAATATTAGGATGGTAAGAAAGTTCTGAGCCGTTTGACACCTTTTCTTGCTTTACTTTCTTATTCCGCGTACCAATGGAAATTTACTCAACAATATAATCACCATTGTTACTCACTACAGAGTCCCACCTAATGGGCAGGTCAGCGACCCCCTTCTCCCAGAACTGAGCAGACTGAGAGTCAAAGAAATCGCTGACCGCTCTTTCAACGTCTTCAACTTTGGTGAATTTTTTCTTCGCTAGGAATGCCTTAAGGGATGAAATAAGTGATAATCAGAGAGGGCAATGTCAGGGGAATAGGGTGGGTGGGGAACCGCGTCCCAGATCAGCTCTTCCAATTTTGCACGGGTCTCTTTAGCTATGTGGGGCCTGGCGTCATCGTGGAGTAGGTGGACAGAAGTTCGTCTCGGTCGTTTTTCTTGAACAGCGTCCGCTAGTTTCTGGAGCTGACTGGCGTAAATGCTGCCGGTAGCGGTATGTCTTTGCGGGAGCATCTCATAATACAACATTCCTCACGAATCCCAGAGGTAGCAAAGAAGACAGCTTTTGGGGTGAAGGTCCGATTTTGCTTGTGTCGGCGGGTCTTCTCCTCGAGGGAGCCACACGGCACTGTGCTTGTTAGAATCGTAGAGGACCCAACTCTCATCTCTCGTAATCATGCCTTCCAAAAACTCCTTTCGGTGCGGACAAAGAAGGAGAAACTGACAAATGGGTACCCGCCTGAACCGCGTGCTATCGGTCAAGACATGAGGGATCCATCGAGTCGGCACTTTCCTGTGGCGAGGGCGTGGAGGGGACCGAGGACTGTGGGATGGGTGCACCCGAGTCTTATCACAAGGCTGCGAGTGCTAACCTCCTGACCCTTACGACAGCGCCGAGACCTACTGCGGAGAAGTATGATCGACAGCGATAGTCTATCACGTAGCAGATTCTAGGTATCAATCAATAAGCGAAAGTTCTGGAGCTTTCGAAAAATCGGCTCAGGACTTTCTTACCATCCCAAGTAAAATAGTACAAGCATAGGAGCTAATTCTATCTCAATATTTTGCTTACACTCAATCCCGATTTTCTTTTTTAGTATACAAGCAAGATTAAACAGCCAACGCGCACAGCCGCATCGCCGCATCATAATTTGCAATTTATTGATAGTCACATTTCCATCTATAATTCATTCCACTATTGCTGATAAATACGTTGTTTTCCAAATTCGACAACCTATATGGGCAAACTCGAAACATGAACATAGCACAATAAAAGCTAAACGAGTCTCCCCGGGTGAACGTAATTATCATACGTGGCCCGCGCTGTCATCGAAATGTTGAATTTTCTTGAGACATCCAAGAATAACACGAGCACTAAAACGTTCTCAGCGGTCTGCTTCCTGTTTGAAAAACTTTAAAAAACGAGGTATTTGCGGAATACAAACTCATATTCACATTTGCCGCATATGTTTACCGACAACCATTCGACTCGCTATCTCATATTTACCGATGGCTATTAAGTGCTACATGCTAAAGGGCTGAATCTATTCATTTATTGTGTTAAATGCATAATAAATAATGTTCTAATCACTTTCACAACGCAACTACGAGCAAGTTCCATTATGAACCTTAAAACCGACTTCCACCTGTCCAGTGACTCTAAAGCCTTAAAGCTTTCAATGCTCTGAAATCGAATCATTTATCAGCTGAATGCTTCGCAACGCACTGCTCTGAGGTGTGACACTATTATCATATTGCAAAAGCTCCCAGACATTCAGAACATACTACTTTCAGGACAGCCCAATCCTAGTATTTATCAGCTGGGAAGATGTCTTCTTGCAAAAATAAATATATACCTTATGGTCCTTCACGAAATATCGAAAGGACCCACCATAATTACACGCCGCAACGCCCACCGTCATCGACCTAACTCGTACAAAAAAAGCACCAACCCTTGCTTGAATCGTCGTAGCCGATTTTCTTGACAACTTCACGAACAAGCGTCTGATAATCGATATTTGCCTTAGATGTGATTTCGCCACACAACATGATCATACCCGTTTTAGTTACCGTTTCTGTAAGCAAAGCAACTGTTAAACGGGTGATAAATCAGGTGTGTGACAAGCACACCGAGCATTGTCATTTGCCGTGATGATCTGAAACACGGTATATTAGTTGGTCCATAGAATAGGAACCAATACTTGACAAGAAAATACTGTCCACTTATCTGTTTTTGAGCCAACCTTACACGATGTAATTCCTCTATTCTGCTTAAAAAGTGAGGTATTTACTTCTCAATACGTTAATATATTCTAACAGCCAAGTGCATATAAACAGCTAATATAATCTCGTTTTTCAGCAATGGCTACCATGCATCTACGACTCGAATTCAAAGTGTTGTGCTATTGAAAGCGCTTCATATGAGTACTTAAAAGCGCTTGAAAACGAAACACGAGTCTAGCAAACAAAACACGAACACTTCCTCGAAGAACTATTTCCCTGTCCTCCTCCAGTGACCTTCAAAAAGTACACGCACAGTATATTTCAAAACGATATGAACAACTATCAATATTTCTTGCCACATTTTCATACTCTTCCCAAATCACCTACCACATGCAACCTTTGCGTCAGGATCAATTTTCAGGTGGGCATCGAGAACAGCGTCAGAGATCTATAATAATGACAATGAGAATGTGTGTAAAATGCTTGCTCCTCTGGGCTCTAATGAAAAGTTTCACCTTGAAGTTCGAGGAACAATGGCCCTTGAAGAAGCCCTTTCAGCCTTACGGGGTAAAAGCGCTTTGGAAAAGTACACTGCTACTCACGGAATAATGCATTCATTCTTAAAAGGAATCACAATAGACCTTGTTAAAGGTTCGAGGACGAATTCGTCATCTCGTGCACATGTACTACTACGCGTGGACTGAACACGCGCTCGACGATCGATACGAAAATAGCTGGATTTTGTTGTCACTTCGCCAGTCAGATGTTTAATTTCGCACTGTGTCACAGCTTGAGAATTATCGAGAAGAACTAGCACCCTTAGATTATTTTAAACGCTCAACTATCTAAGCTTAAAAGAGGACGCTTTGTCAACAATTGGCTTTCGGAGTTTCTGTGAGAATGTCACAACTTTATTCTCACTTGGCGAAAAGTTTTTACCTAAATTTTCCGAAAAATCCTATAATGGTAGTTGTAAGGGGTTGGTATGTATTAGGAGTTTGCGAACAACTAACAACACGATTTCGAAAACTGCAAAACTTCAATTGGCCCGATCTCTTTGTCTCAAAACGTAGTTGCATGAACTTCCCAAGCAACATCTTGAGAAACTACTCCTTACAGCATCATGGCACTTTCCTGATGGCAGCCACCAGGTAAAAACGCTACCCAGCATATTCTCATGACCAAATTTGAAATCCACTAAGAGAGGTAAACGTAATAAGCCTGATTGAAAAGCCGTACCTGATCGCACATCTTATCCGGATGTCCTTCCGACACGGATTCCGACGTGAAGAGGAAAGTGTTTGCCACCATCTCTGAAAACCACTCGGGCAATAAATGAACGACGAGGAGGAAACGTGAAAGGCGGAGCGTGCCCGCGCCATTCCACCACAAACACTGGATCACACGAGAAGGTGCACAAAAAGCGGCAGAACTACCGTAATCAAATAGTGATGAGGAGAGGACGAAATGCGTACTCACATGAACAAAAAAGAGCTCTAATTCCGAAACAATGCACTATGTATTTCTAGAAAGTCTATACTAATGTGGGAGGGGTGGGCGTTTGAACAAAGCCTCATACCGCTTACAGTAGTCCCGAAATTGGTCCGGGTAGAGGTTCCGCCATAAGTGAACCATATCGCTTTCGCTTTTACACCTACCAAAAAGCTTATTCTCCCTGAAAAATGGGACTACCTTAGACGATACGAACTATGCTTAACCATAGAACCTCCCCCCCCCCTCCTCCCTCCCTTTTCGCGTTGATCTTCTAACCCAGGTTCCAAAAATTATAAAACTTGTTAGGCTCAAATTAATTAGCTGATCAAGTCAGTTTCGAGCCTCGTTATATAATGAACACATAATAGAAGGAGTTAGAGTAAATCAGCTCGTTGGCGTTGGCGCATTGGCAAGTAGAACCCTGCTACTTGACTCTCGCCTTCTTATTCTTAGCAACTTAGCCTAGATGTCGAAACACTGACCTCATAATCGGGCTAGCGCCCAACTCATTGCAGAATGAATCTACTCGTTGACGCTGTATTGGCGACTACGTTCAAGCATGGCGCATCCCCATAGTTATGACCTTTACGCCAGCCTCTCTTCATCCTTACTATCCTCTTTTCTGTAATTCTTGTGTGTGACAATGGCGACAATCATTCATGGTCGCGAAACTTTTACCATGAGCCTGACCAGGAATGCCTTGCCTCATAAAATGGTCTACACCTGAGCCAACCATCCTTTCGCGGCTCTTGAACGAGGGGTCGCATTTGCGATTTTAGGGGAGGTATCGCCCTTAAGGCGAAGAAAGGTTCGTTCACTCTAAGGAAATTGTGCGAAAAGGTTCCTATTTGTTCTCGCAGGTTTTTGATGATTTTGGGCGAACCACGTGCCAGTAAGATTTTGAAAACTGGCGAAACTGGAAAGATGCCGTCCCAGAGGGCGGTGCGGGTTTGAGGGGAGGGCGTTGTACTGAGCCCTCCTAAGGCTATGGTGAGATGAGGTCGCTTTCGAGACCCCGTAAGAAGGTGGGATCGCAAAAAAATTGGAAAGTGCGGACGCACGATTGACCCTGGTCTACACTTCGGAGCTGTGCGATCTTCTGACAATAACCTAATTAAACGTAGAATCACGAACTAACCAACCGAATTACCTTCTGTACTATCCATTCAGATATTGTAAATAATCTGGCCACAAAGAACATTCTTGAAAACAATGTTCGCCCGAATGAGCCATCTCCACGTAAATGAGATGCGGCGTCCGTTGAACTTCGCACTTTCAGAAAAGGACATTATGTGATCAGAAGAAGTCGCATGCGCGCATCGTCATTTGCTGCGTATTGAGGACACCAGGTGCCCTGATAGAGGTGAGTTTACGTGTTCACCCCAACCAGCGGTCACGGGAAAAATACTGATCTGTGGAGTTTGAGGGATAACACTGGAATTTGAGAGGATAAGAGTTGGAGAGAGTAGCGATCTGCTGATGACATAGCGCCCTAGGCTTTTACAATTACAGCTACACAGACTGCACAGACTACTGCAGAACAGCACAATTTAGACTATGAAAAAAATCCCTGTAAGATTTGAAGCTCCTAGGTCAAATCAAGTCCTACAACAAGTGGTGAGTTTCTATGGAATGGAATAGTTCAGATTGCGGAAGGGATAACGAGCAAAAGCCTACAAATAACATGAAAGTAATGTTAATATTTTGCACAATGAGGGCGACATTTCACTGGCTGTTGTGATTCATTAAGAATGCTTCGTAAGAGGCAGCTTGCAAAAAGTTGTCGCTTTTCAGGCAGAAGTTGTAACTGATTGAAGTTCATGAGAGACAACAAGAAACATTGGCTGTGCTGAGCTCTTCAAGACGATCGTTCAATGGAACAGTTTTCCCTCGGGCAAGATCCTTTTAAATAGCTGGATAGAGCTGAGATATGATCGGCTAAAAGACCACCGGTACAAACGGATCTCTTTTCTCGGTGCTAGATGAAATCTTCGCCGACAACGCAACCCTTAAAGCAGCCAAGACCGGCTAATCACGATCACGATAACGAATATGAGGCGATGGACGGTTAGCTACCTGGGGATGGGAATGGCTAGCAAATGGGTTACAGTCCGTGGTCCATTTTTGAGAAAGGTCTTCCTTAGGAATTTCTTCGACAATTAATGACAAAAAGCTTCTGCTAGTTCGATTTCTACAGGAATGCCAAGAAATAGAGCGACGCTTGGACTGAACCTCTGCATTTTTACGGATTGGATAATTTGAAGGAAAGTGAAGCTTTCAGATGGTCTTCTATGAAATCGGGAGACACACGATTCTCCTAATAGTTCGAGTCATCAGAGCTGCGCGATACCAAGGGCCTTAGGTTAGGCTTTGTCTTCAGCTTGTACTTACACATTGGGTTATACTTTAGCCTAGGTTTGAGCTTAGGTTTAGAGTCAATCGTAAGTGCTTTAGTCAGATGTGACTTGAGCTGGCCGGAAGCATCGACATACACCCATAGAAAGCGCGTTGCATAAGAACACACTGCTTTGATGGGCAACTGCCCATATTCCAGATGCGTGGCGCATACTAGAAAGGCCGCTTGACCCCCAGTCTTCGTGCCATTTTTCTCCATTCTGTGTTCATGTTTGTTCCCATACAAGGAACTAGCACATACACGAGCTCTTGACGGGATAGCCCTTTCCCGTAGTGAAAATCGCCAAACCAAAC